GGTTCATTGAATGCATCTGTCCTCAATGGAGAACACAGTATGCGTTTCGCCAGTCACTTTTTCCAAAATAAAACCATAATTTGATCTCAAAAGTTATTTTCATAACTTGCCCTCAAAAGAGACGTTTACAACTAGAAGAATGGTCTACAAGGAAGGCCAAAAATCCGTGTGTCGACAATAATGCAATTGCTTTGAATTACGTGTACTCCGTATTTTGGGAGCATACCTTCTGTACTTCGCTCCCCCTGCTATACGTCCATCAAAACAGGGTAACCAACACAAAGCAGAAGTAGGCGTAAGTGCGGAATTTAATTGTTTAAACTGCGGACGAGACTGTAAGTTAACATTTAAATACGTCGTGCATTCTGCTCATATTTGATAACTTTATTTAACGAACTGATGAGTCTAATTGTAGGTTAATAAAATTTCACGGAAGGAGTTCTAAGATTCAGTTTGCATTCAAATAAACGGATCTGAAAAGGAGAGTCAGGCAGAGTTATAATTAAATAGCCAACTGGGCTTTCCGCCAAATAATACAGATATGATGACACAAAGACAGATTTCCGCTTGAGAACTTTGGTAAATGTCCCGAGTAGCTGTAAATAAAGAACCCTTAAGACCATTTCTCCTAACGATTTTCAACAAACTAAGATTGAAAAAATGGATGTACCGAAATATATGATTTCAAGAGACCATAAACAATAAATGTGTCTTCAATTCGCGAAGCATGGCAACGTCGAACGTGCAGTGGCAACTGGAGCTGTGATTACATATTTTAAGAAGAAAACTTACTTCGGCTTTTTTCATAAAAGTGAGATCTGATCATCCCGATTACCGTTTAAATTATTATCTTGCTGTATGCGTTGACGGTCACAAGACGGCGCCCCTAAAATGAATGTCAAAGTAACGATGGCGATGACATGACTCGGCCGCCTAGAAATGTGTCAGCGCATGAAAATCGCATATGTGCGGACCTTCTTCTATCGCCTTTCTTCTGGAGGAATTCTTTGAACCGCCTGTCACTCTCTGGGTGTGACCTGTGTAGCTGAATTAATTATTTGTTAATCCTGAATCAATTCGTCCGGTTGTGGTGACGTATTTACGTTTGTAGTTCATGAACATTATTACGATGACGGTGCTAATTTTCTTCATTTAAAGCGTCGGTTTTCAGTATGTACGACTGTGGTGAAGTGGGTCAACTAGTGTTAGAATCTAAAGAGTTACTTACCAAGGCTACCAGTGGGCGTAAAGAATAGGCATCCATGCTATCTCAGTCGTTAACTGGAACGCCCTATTTCCACGTCAAAATAACTTGACCAATAAAAATTGTCCGATGAACCAGCATAGGAGGGTATTTTGAATTTTAATTTGCAAACCGTCTGTGTCGCAGGAGCATAAAGACAGAGAATCCGGGACTTTGGCCTCCTGGAATGGTGAAAACAATTGTAAGAAAAGTGAATTACCCGATGCAATAGAGTATGGCTTGCTCAGAAGATTTAAAGCTAGTGAATGCGGCACACGCCTGATGTTAGGCCGACATTCTAAAATGTCGACCGTGCAGAAGTATAGAGAGCATGCACCGGGGTGTCAGACTAAACGACGTTTAATCGCCCCGCCCCGTTTTCTTAACCGCCCCTTCTGTCTTTATTTAGTGAACACAAAACAGCAGTCCAACCCTCGCATAGCATGCAGGCTTGATGACAAGGTCATGAGACTTTGGTGTACAAACTTAACATACCTAGTGGTCTTTGCCTGTTGTTCGTAGTTGAACAGATGGATATTATCTACAGTAGATGTGCTAACTCATGAAATGTCAACCAAAATTTCGAAATGCGTTCACGTTTCAAAAGGATAAATTAAGTAAGGATGTAAAATTAATCATGATGCAGCATACATCTATAATGATCCAGTTACCTCAGGGTGTCGACTTTCGAAAGAACTTATTTTCGGCTGCATGCAATATCTATATTCTGCAAAAAAGGACTACATATGTAGTATGTAATTTTCTCAATGATTTTCGATGCCCTTGAAAATTCAATTATATTTCATGGAAAACATGCATAAAAATATACATTCTTTTACTTATTCGGTAGAAAATCACCTCTTCTTCCAATTTCATACTCAAAAGAAGGGTGTAATTCGGTTTTGAAAACATTTTCTGATTCCCGAATAATTTTGAACCCGATCTGCTGTTACACTTGTATTCAGGGTTTCAAAACTACGAGCTGAATATTTTCCGTGTGCGGAAAACCATGCATTTCTCTACGGTGTTAAAAGGAGATCATATGACGTTCATAAAATTAAGCAGTGGATTTGAGCACTATTGTTAACTTTACCAGCCACATTCGTAAATGCAGATACATGACGTTTCATGAACGGCCATTTAACGGTATTAAAAATCTCACAATTAGAAACTCTTTTAAAACCGAATTATATTTTTTTCTAGCATTAACTTGGAAGAAGACGTGATTTTCTATCGAGTAAGTAAAAGAATGAATATTTTTATGCATGTTTTCCATGAAATATAATTGAATTTTCAAGGGCATCGAAAATCAATGAGAAAATTGCATGCTACTTAAGTAGTCATTTTTTGCAGAGTATAGATCTTGCATGCAGCCGAAAATAAGTGTTCTCGAAAGCTGACACCCTGAGGTAACTGGATCATTATAGATTTATGCTGCATCATGATAAGTTTTACAACACTACTTTATTTATCTTTTCGAAACGAGAACGCATTTCGAAATTTTGGTTGACATTTCATGAGTTAGCACATCTACTGTATGATGCGGATTTGAGATACATAAGTAACCAGTAGTGACTATAGCGGTCGCAACAAATACGCAAGCTTAAACTACTTATCCAACAACCAATGAAGATCAGTAAACATCTCGAAAACATTGGCCATGGAAAGCCAACTGATTGAGTTTCTTAAAAAATTAGTTAAAAGTGACTAGCAATTTGATTCTGAGGGTCCGCTGCTGTGGGGTAGATTAAAGATTTGGAGGGATTGGCATTATCCAAAAGGCCTGATTCAAGAATTTTGTTCTCAAATACTAGAGGAATCACCTGAAAGCAGAGAACCGAAGGCTATTAAACGGCTGCTTTCTTTACCAGTCATTGGTATGCATTGTTTAACTGCCATATCTGTCACAAATTTACTTAATTGCTCTGTACCCCACTTGGCCCGGGCCGTAGATTTAATTGTGATACTATTCAAAATATGAGCAGCACACTGGAAAATGTAGAAAAAATTCCTTTTGCAACAGTTAGGAGCTGGCATACTGCAAAATATCCATTAAGTGACTTATTTGAAGATGCGGAGTTTGGTGGATGGGGAAAAGATAGCAGTACTTGGAGAAACGGATTCATTGTCCGCAATAAGCCGTGATTTAGTCTGGTCGTCGATAAACGGCCAATGGTGAAAGTCTCGGCGCTCTCGGTTGGAATCGAATCTACGAGAGTAAGAGCATGGCCTATGCACAGTCAAGGCCTAACCACCTGCACTACGGGGTTCCAAGCATGAGCCGGGGATTTTTATCATGAGCGGAGATTTCTATCTCACTCGGGTTGAGTTATCCTCCCAGCGTATTAAAACATACGGAATCCACCGAGCCAGATACCGTAGTCTGGTTACTCAGGCAGGATTTTCTAAGCAATCAGTCTGGAATCCACTAAGTTGACTTTTTAAAGAGGTGTTTTTGGCAGACGGGAATAGCTCAGCTGATCTGGGAAGTTGACTAAACACAAACTTTTCCCTTGCTGACGTGGATTCGAATTCAAACGAGGCCGCCAAGTTTTTCGGCTTTCGGGTCCGCTGAAATATTATTGGAACCGGCGTCCTAAAGGACGGCAGGTGCAGTAATCTTGAAAAAACCTATTACCAGAAAGTAATGGCAGACTTTTGCTTATTCATTCAAAATCTTATAAACACTTATTACCTAAAGTGCTGAAACACGACTTATGGACGAACAAGCCTGTGACAAACACTTCTCTGTCAGAAGAGTCAGTTACCTATTCGGTACACGGTTGCACAATCTAGCCACTCGTTACGGATGACGTGCCTTGTAAATTAATTAACAGAGGAAGAACATAACACAAATACGGGGTTGAGCAAGCAAACAAACGCTGTCCTTTCCGACTTCGAAGTATTACGTCTGTAAGCATAAGCTGCGCTCATAATCCTCAAACTCTGTAGAAAAATATACTCGGTTCTTGTAACGGCAGTCCCAGAATGTTTAGTAAATGCAAAGGTCAAAGGAAGCTTAATATCATAACGAAGGACTTATCGTATGAGACCACGGTCATTATTAAGGGCTTAATTTCTGCTTGTAGATTTATAGGATTATTCAACGTGAATTGTAAACATGAAAGCACTTGTAGTTCAGTATCCAAATTGGTTATCGGCATTCTGCAGGCGTTGATCTGATGTGTCCCATTCTCCGTCCTCACTTTAGTTAGTACTTTGGCGCAAGACTGCCGTACGTATTTCACTGTGCTGCCTAAACAGAGGGGAGCTGTCCGTGTACTATCGGGATTGGCTATATTCAGTTTAGCGTATACCGATCATGAAATTGTCCGAGTACGTTCAGCATATATTCAGAATGTCATAGCAGGGCATACAAGTGATCCAGAGGAATGCCGCAGATAGCAGACGGTTAAAATATACAAAATGTACTTTGTTCGTGAGTGTCTGTGAATACTGTGAATTTCGCTAGAACTGTCATTCAGAAAAGTCATAGGAGACAGGAGATGAGTGCTGACGGATAGCCCTATTCTCCTGACTCTCTTCCACCGTACAGCCAGGAAGCTTCTTGATGACTGTCTTTCACGAATTGAAATTAAGAATTCTTTAAAAGAAGGCGCAGGCACGATCACTGGGACAGTAGGTTTATTTGCCTGAGCTTTCGAACTCGAACTAGAGTTCATCATCAGAGGCTACTCGAGTGAAGCAAATTGTGAACATTTATATCGTTCATCCTTGCGGGGGGGTACGTCCGTGGCTAGGTGGGGTCTGTGCCGCCTGGTCCACGATGTTCCCCCGGCGTGGTGACGCCGTTTGTACTTCGCGACGGTGTGAGCTGTGCCACCTGGCTGCGTGGGCGGAGCGCGTGATAACACGCAGGCAAATCGATGTGTCTGTTGATGGAGTTGGTGTCCGACACCCACGCCTCCAACAGCTCTCGCCCTGTCTTGTTGCCGGCTCGCGCCAATATCCGCGTGTTGGCGAAGTCGAACTCATGCCCTTCCTCGAGCGTGTGAGCGGCTACTTGAGACAGTGGGTCGCCTCTCCGAACGGCCCGTTTGTGCTCAAGTATTCGTGAGCTCAGACGTCGTCCTGTCTGGCCTGTGTAGTGGCAAGGACAGTTTTGGCAGAGGATTCGATAGACTACTCCCGACTGTTCACCTGCGTCCAGCCGATCCTTCATTTTCATGATCCTGCTACGCATGGTGGCCGCCGGATGATGAGCGATGCCCACGCCTAGCTCTGACGCGATGAGTTCTGTAGCCTCGGACACATTCTTTATGTACGGTAGGGAGTGCCAGATTGTTGGTGTCTCTCTTCCGTTTGTCCGGCGTGGGTGTGCGCGTATGCAGCGACTGATAAAACTATTTGGGTAGCCGTTCTTTGTTAATTGGTCCCGTAGATGCATCCTTCCTTCGGGCTCGCTACAGTGCTTTTTTACCCGGTCGAAAAGCGCCCTCACGCAGCCCCGTTTGTGCACCAATGGGTGGTTGCTATGATAGTTGAGGACCTGGGTTGTATTGGTCGCCTTTCTGTACACTGTAGTGCTGAGTTCACCGTCAGTTGTGCGCGTGACGAGCACGTCCAGGAAGGGTAGATTCTCGTCCTCCTCGTCTTCTCTTGTAAACTGAATGTCGGGGAATATACTGTTAAGTAAGTCTTGGAAACCCGATAGCTTGTCCTTTTCAATAATGACGAATGTATCGTCCACGTATCGGCGCCAAAACGCAGGTTTGTAATGGCTGAAAGCAACCTTTTCCAGCTCTTGTAGGACCAATGCCGCAACTAGGCTGGATATTGGTGAACCCATGGGTGTTCCTTTGATTTGTTCGTATGTTCTGCCATCAAAGGTGAAAAAGATTCGTTGGCAGAATGCAAAGAGCTGCATTAGGTGCTGGATCTTTAGCGGCCCTGTCGTTTCGTTGTACTTTTATTCGAGGCGTTTGCGTAACATGCCGCGAGCCAAGTCTGGTGGGATGGACATGAAAAGTGAGACAGCGTCGAAGGATACCATGATTTGGTCGGGTTGAATAGTTTTTTCCCCGAATGTCGGCAAGGAATTGGGAGGCCGAATTGACGGACGTCAGAGAGCCCTCTCGGAGAAAATTGAGCTTTCGGGACATCCATTTGGCTAAATTGTATGTGGGGCCGGGGGAACATCGTGGACCAGGCGGCACAAACCCTACCTAGCCACGGACGTACTCCCTCTCCCCCCGCAAGGATGAACGATATAAATGTTCACAATTTGCTGCACTCGAGTAGCCTCTGGTGATGAACTCTAGTTCGAGTTCGAAAGCTCAGGCAAATAAACCTACTGTCCCAGTGATCGTGCATTCGCCTTCTTTTAAACAAGAACCTGGGATGCACATATTCTCTTCCATTAAGAATTCTCTTCAAAATAGTGGCCTGCCTACGAAGCAGAAAACATCAGTTTCTTCTATATCCTACCATTTTGCCCTTACTTGAGAATTAACGTCAGACGCATTTGAGTTCGTTTGTCTTTAGTGATTTTCGGAAAGTAATGTATGTAGGAATAGACACACACGGATGGATAGGCTTCTCAAAGGAGTTAAGTTCTGAGAGGTCATTATAGGCAATCACATACCAGATTGAACTGGACCTCGATGTGGCATGTATGGGGGTAGCGAGAAAGAGGAAGGTTAATTGATACCGATCTGCCTCCTGTTTCTTCTGGATTCATGCAGCCAATCAGAATCCTGACCGCCACGTAGGACTGAGAGAGGGTCGCACTCACGCACAGGATGCAGATTGTTCGTAGACTATGTCTGGTGGGTGGGTGATGAGTGTTTGATCGAACCGAAGCTTAACATAGCCTCCCGACTTGAAGATTTCCGTCGTTGCAGATCTGGTGTTTGCTTCGAAGACGGCAGACCTGAGAATGAAGCCGTGCGCACCCACTTTTGTTTGAATATTAAGGCAAGAAATTTGCATTTCATTAAGGGAAATGCGTGGAGTAACTTCATCGGGACACGAATTTCAGTAGTAGTATGTGCAGTAGGTGGACCATTTCATGAAATGTCAATCAAAATTCCGAAATGCGTTTTAGTTTCGAAAAGAATAATTAAGTAGGGCTGTAAAACTAGTCAGCCTGCGACATAATTCTATAATATTTCAATTACCTCTGGATGTCGGCTTTCGAAGCAACTTCCTTCCGGCTGCATGCAAAAACTGCACTCTGTAAAAAACGACTACTTAAGCAGCATGAATTTTTGTCGTTGATTTTCGATGCCTCCAAAAATTCAATTATATTTCATGGAAAAATGCATGCAAGTTTTCATTTATTTGCTCATTTGGTTGACAATTACGCCTTCTTTCAATATTATACTCGAAATAAGGGTATAATTCGCTTTTCAAAAACTTTTCTAATTCCCAAATAGTTTTGAACCCGCTCTACTTTTTCATTTGGATTCAGGGTTTCCAAACTACGAGCTGTATATTTTCCACATACAGAAAACCGCATATTTCTCTAGAATATTAAAAGTAGACCACATAGGGTTCATAAAATTTAGCAGTGGATTTGAGCCCCATTGTTTACTTTACAAGCCACATTGGTAAATGCAAAGACATGGCGATTTATGAACAGTTATTTCACGGTATTTAAAAGTCCCACATTAAGGAAATCTTCTAAAACCGCATTATGTTTCTTCTTCGAGTATAAAATTAGAAGAAGACGTAATTTTCTACCGAATGAGTAGAAAATGAATATTTTTGTGCACGTTTTCCATGAAATATAATTGGACCTTTAGGGGCATAGAAAATCAACGAGAAAAACCACGCTACGTAAGCAGTCATTTTTTACGGATTGTAGTTTTTGCATGCAGCTGAAAGGAAGTGCATTCAAAAGTGGTCATCCTGAGATGACCGAAATATTACAGAATTATGTTGCAGGCTGTTCAGTTTTGCAACCCTACTTAAATAATCTTTTGGAAATGAAAACGCATTTCGTAATTTTGGTTGACACTTTATGGATTAGCCCACCAACTATAGCAAAGAGGACCATTCTCGGAAAAGACCAGCTGTAGCCGTGAAATTCGTACTTGTTATCAATAAACCATAGTCAAACTAAATGTGCACAAGGTGTGGGATTCATGGCGTCAAGAGTGAGGGGGGGAGGTCTAAAAATTACAGTGCACACGTTCGCAAATGTGTGCAGCAGTGGAAGTGAGGGCGGGAGTGCGAGAGTTCACTGGAATGTGAGAGGATGATGCTCCGATAAGCAGACAATAGGCCAGACATGAACCAGCAGTCTATATTTGTCAACGATGTGCGCCACCGGTAGGCGAGATGGAGGTGAGTACGAGTGAACCCCGCAGAAGGCGGTGGCCCCTCAGTGAGCCAACAAAAGACCTGGTATAGGGTGGTTGTCATTGACGTTTTGCGCTGGCCCCAGGGGGTCGGCCAAGTGTGATCGCACGCCATCATAGTGTAACGTTGCATGCTGTTAAAGGAGGATTAAGAGGCTTCGAGAAATTCTCTTGCAATACCAATCTTGCTGATGTACACCAAAGTCACGAACTTGCACCCCGTTCTTAGTTGCCACCCCAAGATGCAATCTCATGGGGCGAGAATTCTGCCTCTCATCTCCATTCCTACGTCCACGGCTGACTAACACGAAGCAGAAATAGCTATGGACGCAACCCGACTATTCTGAATGCTGTTTGCTACAATTATTACCAAGTGAAAGGGAATAATGTCTACATTCTATAATATATATGTGTAAAACTAAAAATTTCACAAACTTCTGAGAGAAGGACCTGGAGTTAACTACCCGGAATATAGCCATTTATGGCCAGTCACGAAAATATACTAAACACTTGAATCGAAAAGACTCAGCTTCTAGGAATAACCACGTAATGATCATTCAACAAATAAGTAGGGCTACTAGTAGTATAATTTTATAGGACAGCAGTTTCATTAAAATTCCAAGCAAAGCTCGCGAATGAAAGCCATGCATGTCGCAGAGAAATGAAATTTCTCCAACTTGGGTGGTAAGGAGATTCTCCCGTCGCGAAACAGGCGTCTAACCCTTCAAGTCTAGATCGTGAACACATAAACGACCCGTAAGGATATGGAGTCTGCTTATCAAATCGTATTTCTCTATCGAGAAGACTTAAGTGTCGAAGCCACCGAGGTGTCCTTCAGCGAATCATATATATATAATTGATTGAAAACGGCTAATAAACCAGAAATGGCCGTTCCAGTCTCTCTTGTCTTTGTCGGTAATGCTATTCCACTTATATCACGCGTCACTGTGTGGCTGCTAGCCGGGTTCGAGAGAGTCTCAAGGCACAACGGGACGAGCGAGTTCCGTAGCGCGATCGGTGAGCGCCCTCCTACCATGATACATACATATATACATACGAGTACTTTGCGCAAATACAAGGCAGAATATGAGTACTTTATATAAATTGGGAACAGAGCAATGCATGGCTAGCAGAGTGCAGTGGAGTAATTAACGGCAGGTGCTGCCATGCCAACAAACCTACAACCGCGAGGACATTTACCATAACCTGAGACAATTAACGACAATTGCGCAAAGATGTAATACCGATCCCACTCAGATAACGAAAACCAAGTCATCGTGTAATACGGGTTCTATGGGTGAAGCTAAATAGCCGATAGGACAGAGCGGTAATAGGTAATTGTTCGGAGAAATTTTGGGGTGGCATATTGTGTCCCCTCGCTAACTTTCTCTCCCACTTCTTGCAAAAACAGCGCACTTAAGAAGAACCCGAGTCTCGAAGAATGATGAGGATATCTGTATATGTGACAGTGCGACCGAAAACTTAAGCATTTTTGCAGGTTTCCTAGTTTGTTTTCACAACAGAAATAACTTACATTTCGTTTATTTACGAGGACATGGAAGCGTCAATAATAAAAAAGCGAATATGCCAAAATGGCCTGATTTTTGTTCCCTGAATGGGGTCGCATAATACGCCTTTACCTGTCAATGGGCTTAGAATACCCTTGCCAGCACAGAAAGTGCTACGTAAAGGACGAGAACACCATTTACTCAACGCTTCTGACAGCCTCCTGGAAAAGGTGACCAATACAGATTATCCAATAAATTGCACAAGGTTTAGTCATCGAAAATAGACAGTATATCCTGTTACCGGGGTTAAGATATCTCCCAAAAACATCCTTCGACTCAGCACTTGTTCGAACAGGGATTGCCGACTCTGCTAACGCAAACGCAATTCAAAGCTTACAGACGAACAATCTGTCGCCTGTAAGCTTGTGTTGAGCCGTTTATGAGAGATAGAAAATTCTCTCTACGTTTAACTGCTAGCGGATTGGGGACATGTTTACAGGTAAAAAATGGGTGCGACGCGACTTAACTTTGATGTGGGGGCTAGATTAAAATGCATCTGTTTGTCGATGATTTTTTATTAACGCCCATAAATAAAAAACATCATTTATTAAAACAACAATGCACATTCACTGTAAAAGTGAAATCCGTGTTATGCAAAGGGGCAAAATGAACCTAGAATTTGTTAGATATCTCAACATCTGCAAAACCTAGTGGAAAGGATTTCAACAGAACGACGATAAACCATGAACGTAAGGAGAGTAACAGCAATTGATTTAGCCAACTGCGATCCGATCTAAAGCCAGTATTTTCTGATATGTAGGTTGCATTGGAAATGTAAGTATGCAAGAATGCTTGCTGTTTATTCTTCTCAGGTGACTGGCTATCTCAGCGACACCCATGTAGCTACAATTAAATTTCCCGAAAAACTGACATTTACAGCCGAAAAAAGCTACAGTTGCATTAATAAACTGTTGGGGCTAAGAATTTAGGGGATCGTGTAGGTCGATTGTCTATTTACACTTGACAAACTGACATATTATCCTTCTGTCTGACAG